CTCATCGATAAAAACTATAAAACAATATATCTCTTCGCTGTCTTTGCTTTTTACAGGGTATAACCTTATTTAATGTGAAGTAATAACAAAAGTTGAAAAAATCAACTTAACAAAATAATGCAAAAAAATTGTACGTGAAAAGGCGCACGCACTCTAAAAAATGCATTGGTCGTTGAGGCTAATTTTTTCTTGCTACGTGTACTTTAGTATACCTAAAAATAACTTTTAGTTTCTGAAACCAATTTTAGGTATGCTTTGGTTGCATTAAACAATTTAAATTAGTTATCAGAACTGGATATTATTGTTAACTGTATTTTAGTAATGATAACCGATCACGCATGTTGCAACGAATATATTTTATTCTACCTAGTAACCTATACTAATATATTTATTTTTGTTAGCCAAAGCCATGATTAACCAATTATTTTTTTAAATTTGGCGCCATTAAACGTCGGCAGAAACTCCGATCTGCTCAGCAGATTCTGCTGTCCACTAATGCGTGTGTTGTATTGTGGGTGGTCATGATATTTTCTGTGTGATCATACAAAGTAAACCTTGTGCCTTATTGATAAAAACTAATATTTTGTGTGTGCACAATATGAGTGAGAGTGGTGATTTTGTAAGAGAAAAACTAATTCAATATGGATTAGAATCATTTACGGACACCTTCAAAGGTAAGGGTAGCTTCTGCCTTCTAAAACTCAATATGGCGGCCGAATAAAGCCTGGTTCTAACAGAAAAGTAATTTAATTTAAGATGTAATTTAATATAACTTAAAAGTTAAAAACCCAACAATCCTTTGTAACGTTCATACAGTGATGTAATTTAAAACTTAATTTAATAGTTGGCCAACTTTTATCTTTTAAATTAAATTACGTTATTTCAAGGTTATTTTGTATTATCTAACCCATTTTGGGAGAATCTAACCTATTTTGTGTAAACGAAAAAAGACAAATATTTCGATTGTAATTACCAAAGTAAGCCATATATATCTAAAACTTTTAGTTTTAGATACATTAAGTAAGCATTCTCTTTAAAATATTGTTTTTAATTTTAAACACTATTAAATTACGTTACTTTTTGTATGAAAGCAAGTAAATTAAATTAAATTACTTTTAAAGTTAAATTAAATTATATTACGTTATTTCTCTGTTAGAACCCAGCTTAAATTATTGTTTTTATCGTAGGTAAATAGGTAAATGGTTTTTTAATAGAAAATACTTACCTAAATAAAATACCTAAAATCTCTGTAACTTGTTTTGGCCCCCGTTTTTGCTAAGCATTTATTTTGACTGTTTTAGAAAATAAAATCGACGAATCCATCTGGTCTTCCCTTAAAGGAGAAATTTTAAAGGATTTAATTCCCCAAGTGGGATTAAGAATAAAATTCCAGCAGCAAATCCGTTTTAATTTATTTAACTTAATAGGTATAAGTTGCGTTTTTTTTGTTATTTGTTTTTTGTACTTACCGTTTTTAAATGATTTAAGTATGTAAACTTTAGTAATGTTATAACATTATAAATACCTATAACTTTATAATATAGTTCGCGTTTTCTTTTTGTTATTTGTTTTTTGTATAATTACCGTTTTTAAATGATTTATGCACATGTGAACTTTATTAATGTTACTTATACCTACGGGTATTTAGATATTTAATAAAAAGCAGTTTTTCCAAATAAGTATGCATTTTATTTTTATAAAGACGGTATTCGTATATATACGAATACACAGGTTTTATTTTGCTTCCAAAAAAATAAATTGTAAAACCTAGCGATTAGTGGTATAATCTTCTACTAGTAGACAATCAATTGATTTAAATAAGGATCCTGTTTTAGACTTCCTTTGTATTTGTTTTTGTAATTACTGCAGCCATGGCTACGGCGATGTTTCGGCCCGAAGTAAGTATCTACCGATACCAAATAATAAATAGTTTTTACTTGATATTGGCCAAAGATACTTCGGGCGGAAACGGGTAATAACAAAAATAAACACAATGGAAATCTTAACAGATTTTCTCATAACAAGATTTAAAGTACCTATAAGAAGAAAATATTAGCATTCGTAACAAACAATTCATGGTTATAATAAGAATCTATTTTAGTATCCCCAAATCACAAAACTGGTCTTCATAACTAATATTTATATGCAGGCAACCAAGTATTATTGGTGCTAGTAAAAGTAAAATAAGTTATTGAGATAAATTGAAATGTCCTAGCAACATTATTATGTTGCTTGTCATAAACAACAAATTTAGTATTGGCAACAAATATATACGGTTTAAATTACCAAACAGTTAGTTCACTAATGACAAGAGCGACTAGCTACGAATGCCAGAATAACTATAACAATAAAATTTGGTATTCCTTACTAAATTGCCTCTTAATGCTATTTAAACTAACGTTTCTTGGTTATAGAAACTAAGATTCTAGTATACTAAACCTAACCATTTTTTAGAGTGCGGGGGTTCACAACACCCAGAGCCTGTTTGAAACAAAATACCAGGCAACCTATTACATTAACTTCAAAATCGGCAATGTAATACGATTGACAATACTTTGACAGGAAGGTACTGAAAGTAAGCGCCATTTAATCGAATCGAAGTGAGACCGGTAGCAATATTTAGGAAGCTGGGATGTTTTGTACACCCCGCGTGCCTGCTTAAGGGTTAATAGAAAGTCTTAGATTACTTATGGCCGGTTTATCAATGTCCGGTTAAAGTTGCAGTTAGTTATCTGGCAGATAATCTCCATGGATACCATTGTTCTGACAACGATCGATATGAAATTTAACTGTCAGATAGGCTAACTGGAACTTAACCAGAGATTGATAAACCGGCCCTTAGTAGACTATGCAATTACAAAAAAAAATGTACCTATCTCCGAAAAAAACTTAATTCCAAAAATTTAATTTGTTTTGAAAAATATAGTAAAACGTTGGAAGCACAGAAGAAATATTATTGTATTAAATGTAACCTAACAAGTAAGTTATATTTTGTAAGTTTTTTTGCAATTTCTATTGGTAGTATAAAGTAATGTTTTATTTAAATTTAATCACTTAGGCCAAAAAATAAACATTAACTAAGAATTACTTAAACAAATAATGTATGCGCGTTAAATTGGCTCTAGCCCACTGTGCGTCGCCAGGATCTATAATGCAAATAAATATTTTTAGGTCGTCTGCAAATAGTAACTGGCGACTTGATAACATGTTTAATAAAAAGAATGAATAAAAGATGACGAATGCTTGGCCCCTGTGAAACATTTGATGTACTATAGTTATAAGAGAAGTTTATTATCAATAAGGATGGGATCCTTATACGTAAGCGTCGAATAAGGAAAAAAAAGAGCTCAACATCCGTATAACGCTGAACGCTGTTTGGCTGATTTTAGAGTGGTTGAAGTACAGATTTATTTAATTTAAAATTACTAAGTAACGCAATAATAAATAGACAGCGTAACTTTAATTAAAATAATAATTAATTTATATGCCAGTAATGATGTTGTTGTAGCATGCTTTTAAACATTTATTTATAAAGGTTTATTATTGGGTTACCAATTTGGGAAAATTAATTTAAATTAATATGTAATATTGTTTAAAATTTAATATAAAATACTCGAGTTTTAATTTTGTTATACCTAATATAATATATTATGATATCACCATAATATAATATTATACATGTTGTCCCATAATTAGCGTGCAATACTTTAACAACAGATTCTACCTACAAAAATAAGAAAAAAAGTTTCTATAAAAATAGGTCGAGAAATGCTTTCCACGGGAGCTACAGCCCCCGAAAAGGGAGCCCCTGAAGATGGTTTTTATGTAATATCTCCAAAACCGTTTAGTATAGAAAAGTTAAATTTTTGGATATAAAACTTTTTATGGCCAATAAGTTGGAATGGTAACAAATTCAAAATTTTCACAAGGGGTGGGTCAGATAGATAAGGAGTGTGGGTAAAACTACCCTAATTTTTTTGTACGTATCTTGTGCTATGATTTGATATCAGATGATAATATTTCAGAGTTTTACACACAAAAAAGGTCCTCTTGATGAACTTCGATAGCATACACCGTTTTCGCTTAAAATCGATTTAAAAATTACCTTACATAGCATAAAAATTCATAATGAAATCACAACCAGAGAAAAAGATTCAGCGTAGGCCATGGATAATTTTTAAACACATTGTCACATATTACATGAAACTGTTACCTGTCTTAAATAATTTTTCCTAAAGATGGCAGCTGTGTTCCATACCTTAATAATAATAATAATAATAATAATAATAATACGTTTATTTAGCAAAGCTATTATAAAACAGTCAATATTTACATTAAAACTTAAAAAATATAAAATTCAGGTACATAAAATATATCAATATACAACAATAATTTTAATCATTTACGCTGAATTTTTCTCTCTTGTATATAAATTCATTATGATCTTTTATGCTATGTAAGGTAATTTTTAATTGGATTTTAAGCGAAAACAGTGGATAATATGAAAGTTTAACAAGAGGACGTTTTTTGTGTGTAAAACTCCGAAATTTTATAATCTGACATCAAATCCTAGCACGAGTACAAAAAAGTTAGGGTGGTTTTAACCCCTATTCAGTATCTATCTGACCCACCCATCATGGAATTTTTAATTATTATTATTACATCTTATTGGCCATAAAAAGTTTGATTACTTCCCAAAATTTTACTTTTCTATCTTGAACGGCTTTGGATATATTAAATAAAAACCATCTTCAGGAGCTCCTCTTTTAGGGGCTGTAGTTCCTTTAGAAAGCATTTCTCGGCCTGTGTTTATAGGAACTTTTTTTCTTATTTTTGTACGTAGAATCTGCTGTTAAAGTATTGCACGCTAATTATGGGACACCCTGTATAGAAGATATACTTTATGAAAAGCAGCTAGTTTTGCGCTTACTCTTTAATAAAACATAATAATGTTAATTAACAAACATAATTTTAAATTGATATTTTCTTTTCTTTTTTAGACCCAATGTCTGCAGAACGAGATACAATAGAGCCCAATGTTGTTCTGGATGGCAACGAGACAGTCTATTTGGATTGTGTATAAAACGTAAGTTTTAATTTAAATTTGTATTTCTTAAAAGTAAAATTTGTTAACATGAATAAAAACTATAGTAGAAAAATAATAATTTTCCGCATTGGGAATTTTACGCCAAGCGGCAGAACTTTTTAATTTTTGTTTTTATTTGGGTGGCGCTAGGTTAGGACACAATCACATGTATCTAAGACGAACGTGAGTCCGATGTCACGCTTAAGCAACTTGTGTTAAACAAGGACAGAGCGCATTAGTTTGTTGTTCTTGACATTAACATTTAAATATTTAAGGTTTTTTTGCATCAAATAAGGTATTTTTATAATGAAATTAGTGTTTCAGTATTCGATTTTAGCAAAAATCCGTACGATTCTGATCAGAATACCCGGAAATCGGTTAGATGGGAAACAGCAGCGATTTGTGTTTAACATATCCCAAGCAAAAATTTAAGTATTAGTTACGTATATGGGACTATTGAAGAAACTTTAAAGTGTTTTGCGACAGTCGCCGGTCTCTTTATAATACTCTTTCATTACTAAGTTACGACTTAAGTGGGGAACAATTATTGAGTTCCAAAAAGGTAGCAAATACGTCACTAGCTATAAACCCTGCTACTATTTGGAACGTAGCTGCTACGTTACTAGAAAGTTTTAATATCATTGCTAGAGCGTTATAATTACTTTTATTTATTTGTTTCTACTTCTATATTAACTGTCTTTGTTAACTGTCTTTATTATATTATACTATCCCTCCTTTTTTAAATGGAACAACTACGAACTTTCCAATGTCGTCGTTTATTAAATATACAGGGTCTGGCATCAGAATTGAACGGTTTTGAAAAGGCTGCTATGGAAATACTATTGATTTGGTATATGTCAAATAGTGACAGACTTATACCTTATTTTTGAAGGTTTCGTGTGCAATGGCAAACTGGCCGATTAATCAAGGGATCTGCTGTAAATTCGTGTACCCTGGCCCAGTCCTTCGTACAAACGCAGAGACGCTTTCGTCGTAAATATAATAATGCCATTTTGAGATGGGTAAGAGATTTTAACGAAAAAAGTAGTGTAAAATTTAAATTCGCCGGTGGAACTCGTACACAAGAAAATATTGGGAGAGTCAGAGAAGCGTTTGAGCGCACAGATTATACAACTGTTTGAGCGCAGTCCACGACGTTCTGTAGTTCGGCACTCGATTGCTCTACACATTTCAGACCGAAGTTTGCAAACAATTTTACATCTGGATTTAAAACTCCATCTGTACAAGATACAGACAGTCCAGAGGCTAAATCCCATTGATAAAGTCAATCGACTCGATTTCTGCACACAATTTTTAGAGACAAAGAACAACAATGCAGATATTGACATATATCAAATCAACATGTAGTATTTTCATAGCAGCCACGAAACTTTCGGCAATAAGGTACAAGTCTGTCACTATTTGACATATATCAAATCAATAGTATTTCCATAGCAGCATTTTTAAAATCGTTCAATTCTGTTGCCGGACCCTGTAGAATAGAATTACAATATATTGTTTAATTAGGCAGGATAATTTATAAACCCTTTAAATTTTACTGTTAACCTTATGAATTTAGTTTTTGTAAAATAAATGCACTTTATCAATATTTAAGTATAAACAAATTATTTATTTAATGTTTATAAATAAAAAATCTTAATATTTATTTTTAATTTTTTATTTAATTATTAATACCGTCTGTTACCAATAAAATTACTATTTATTAAAAAGTAAACAACCATTTACAAACAATTAAAATAATTTATTATTTACATTACCAAGTGGTACACTGTACATTCAAAATGGCCTATAAAAAGCATTTTCCTTAGAAGTAGTTTTCCCCACTTTAAAGTTTTTTTCCACCTTAATTAACTTTACGGTAGTTTTGGTTAGTACTATAAACGTTCCAAATACTAAAATAATAACTTTTAAGATATTAATTTTGTAGTTTTTAACTCATTTTCCAGTTTCGAGATTTTAACTTGCAAAGGGACTACAAAGTAAAAATAATTATAATTTAATATTTAGGTAGAAACCGAAAGTAACTGCTACAAATAAAATTTACTTGAAAGTTTTTTTTACTCATAACACCTTCTTTAAAATTGCAAAGTCTTCTTTGGAGCAATCAAGTTTTACTTAAATGTTTATTACTTTATAGTAACCATTTAAGGAAATAATGAAGTTTCTGTTACAAAATGTTGCTATTTAAAATTAAAATTACTTTTTGGTAGAAATTAAAGTAGCTGTTTACTTAACCAATTTAAAGTTATCAGCACTTTGGTAATGGTTTTTTGAACCAAAAATGCTGCTTGGGATTATTTTTAAAGAAAACTAGAGCATGGGGTTACCATGCTCCCATTAAATTGTATCCAAGAGGGAAGCGCCAAAGCGACAAAACAGTGCTTAGCCATACTGAGGAGTAGTTCCAGCGGCAAAAAATAATGGACGAAGTTTCGGAACTAATTATCCACCTCGGAGACGACAATTTTGACGATGAATTTTGAGAAAATAAACAAATTCTATAAATAAATACGCTTTTTTACCTAAATCATTTCTGTTCATAAATTGTCCCCACTTGACTACGATTTACAGTGATAGGGACATTTGAATACGGTGCTTTGTCAGGAGAATTTGTTCCTTAACAATTGAACAACTTTAACCCTAGAACCACAAGGTGGCGTCGCCGGTGATCATTGGAATATAAAATCTTAGATTACGCACGCATCAATTTTTGTACTGTGTTACGCTTTTCAGTACCTTCTTAATTATTAATGAGAAGTGTAGGAGAAGTAGGAACTGTGTAAGATTTTCGAAACATAAAATAAATGTGAACATTGCAATAAAAGTGTTTGCGCTAAACATCGCTTTTCTATTTGTATGGATTGCAAATAATATTCATTTTGGAACAAACTGCTTAAATTAATTAATCATTATTATGTTTTAATATTATTATTATGTTTTAGTATTATTATGTTTATTTTATTAAAAATTAGGATTTTCTTTCATTTGTCAATATATTTGGGATAAAAATCATAGTTGTTGTTTATTTTTTGTTCTCTTTATTGTAATAAAAATTTTTTTTTGCAATACCTACTTTCTTTTTATTTAAGAATAAAACTTTATGAAATGACAATCAGAATTTTTAATTGCCTTATTTTAAACAATATATGGGTTTATTCTTGCCGGTCGTATACGACGCCACGTTGTGAGTAATGCAACTAAAATTTCACTTGTGGTTCTAGGGTTAATACAAATAAAATATAAAAACTAGAGGCATTTCATTTAAAAAACCAATGTAAAGTCGAAATGTCGCTTGATAGTCAGGCCACCAACACGCGCGGAAAATGATACGCTACTGACTACCTAAACTAACATTTCACGTTGTGAGTATGTCGAGAAATCGGTTTTTGACATTAGACATTGATGACGCAATTTCAAACATTCGCCGCGACGACTTTAACTGATTGTATTTTAAAATTAGACTGATTCCCCGTTAGCAGTATCATTAACACCTGTCGTATTACAACACCTATCACGAAATCAAAGAAAAACTTTTCAGAATACCTAAGACCTGAATATCTTTATAGGAAGCTCTAATTCTAAGTAGAGCTTCATTTCAATATCTCACATAAACAAAGTTCACACTTCCATTACAGAGTTTGAAGGCGTAGATGGTTGTGAAATTGGACCCCATTATGCAAAATGTGGGAAATCGAATTGTATTTTGTTTAAAGCATCTCATATTTTGGAAAAGAGGAACTTAATTATATCGTTTTTATGGTTTCTTATTAAGGAATCGTGCAAGCAAGATGAAGAATTAAAAAGCATGAAATTCTGGCCAGAATGCGGTAATAAACGGAAGGTTAAACAAAATTTCTGTTGGATACTTTTTGCATAAGGGATTCCAATTGTCCCAGACGTACCTTTAGTCTTTTTTATTTGAAGACCTGCAAGGTCAGTTTAATTAGACAAAAGTTTCGTGAGTATAAGCCTTTTAATATTAAATTTACAAATTAAAAAAAGACAACTGTTCTTAAAATATTTGAAAAAAACTAAAAACATTTTAAAAATAATTATAACTTTGTTATTTCTGGGTGGCTACTAACGTATACCTAGAGTTGGGGATGATCAATTGACCAGTCAATTGACTGTCAATTAACCGCTACATATTTGACCGGTCAATTGACCGGTCAAAATACATTTTATTTTTGCAGCATTTTATTTAGGTATCAACAATTACCCGTGAATCTCAAAATTTTTGTGATCGTGCAATATCGACATCATTTACAATTTGGTGGTTCCCCGAGTCGAGGGGTTGCTAGGCCGGACTCGGCGCTTTGCCCTTAAAGCGGGACATATCTTTTTTAATAGCGAAACATAACTTTTTAAAGCCGCAGAAACGTTTCTAAAGATGGACATAACTTTTATAATAAAAAAAAATGGTAACGTATTTTAATTACCTATTTATTAAGCACAAATAAATCAGTCATATTTATTTTGATATTTTATATAATTTTATTTTGGTCAATTGACCAAAAACAATTTGACCGGTTAATTCCACAACCCTACGTATACCTACCACGCAGTATTACCAGATTCGGTTTTGATTTAATAACACAGTGCCACAGTGCAAAAGGGAATGGGTAAAGGGAATAGCTTCTACAACAAAACCCTACTAGGTTTTTTTAGATCACATCTCAGTTGTTTATTTTATGCATTTAAAGTTAGTAGATTTTTGGCCCTATAGTAAGTAAGTAAAATGAAGTAAAACAATTTTATTTTTTCAAAATTATTCTACAATTATAATTATAATTATTATATAGTCGAGGAATCCATTTTGTATGTTAATTTTACTTAAGATCAACAGTCACACAATTGTTGCTATTTTTAAGTATTTTTATTGGTAAAATGATATTTTTATTATTTTTGAGACTGAGAAATCTATTTTTGTTGTAAATATATACACTAGATGATATTCCAAACCAATATTTATTATTATTGATATATTAGTATAGAAACATATTTTTTGACGGAAAGAGCATTTTAATAGAAAACTTGGCTTTTATAAAAAAAAATATTCTATTTAATGTTTTAACCAAAAAACATGTTATTATTTTTAAATACGTAAGTTTATTTTTGCCTAAAAACAATACAACTATTACTAAAAAAAAACAAAAACGACGTTGTTAAAAGGTAAAATTGATTTGTTTACTTAAAAACACATAGTAAATCAGTGACAGCAACATAAAGTGCTTTTCTTAATTAATATAATTAATTAAACTTATTAAAGAATGAATGTTTAAAGCATTTAAAATATTTTTGTTATATTTGTGGACAATATAATGGAAAACAAAACTTAGTTCCGAAATATGAGAATGTAAAACAATTGTACCAACAATATTACGGAATATATTTAATTGAAAATGTTGATTAGGTGCCTAGAAAAGTTTGCAGAACTTGTAATAACAATTTAATTAAATGGTCACAAAATAAAAAGAAGTCAATGAAGTTTGGTGTTCCAAATTTGTGGTATAATCCAGGTAATTTTTTTATTAAAACATGGAATCTCTATTCGTTTTTTTGATGATATTTATTATATTTTGCATTTTTGTAAATTTTTAGATGAGCATGATCAATTACAGTGTTATGTGTGTTTAAATAATTTTAAATCAGAATCCAGATATAAAGGCAAACATCTCAAAGCTATGCTAGCTGATTTATGTTGGTGGTTAAAACGAACCACCGATGAAAAAAACTGATGAACAAGATGAAGCAATGGCTGTAGATCCAGTAGCTGGAACTTCTGGTACTTCAACTATAGTGTTACTGCCGGTTACAGCAGTGATAGTTTTTAAATATAAATAAAATAGCGAAATTAATAATGTTTATTTTAAGAAGTCAATTGTTTATTTAAAAAAGAAATTTTTTCGTAAAAATGCTATTTTTCCTTAAAAAAAAACAAGTTTTTTATACTAATATATATATATAAAAATAAGTAAAAAGTAACAAACATTGTATGGTAGTGTCCTCCTCTGAGAGTCTTTGGTAAAAATTAACATCACAAATAAATTCCTCGATCAAATTGCCAAAATTATTTTGAAAAATTAACATAGTTTTACTTATTTTTTTCCTACTATGGGGTATCAAAAAATTTAAGTATAATTTTTAACATCTTTAAATTCGTACAAAAAATAACTGGGACGTGATATAAAAAAACTCTGATAGAGTTTTATTCCATTCCTTTTCACAAACCTTAATTTTGTATCACAGTGTAATAATTACACTGTAATTGTTCTGCCCCTAGCGTCATTTTCCTGTTGTGTATATTTGCAAATATTGCTTAAATAAAGAGTATGGATTTTGTAGTTTTAAGGTAGATTTAACTTGAGTGTATTGTGTTTTATTATTATGTTTTAATATCTATTACATAGATATTAAAACATTATGAAAAAACTACCAAAAATTTAATGCATATTTTGTAGTACTTTTTGACCGATTATCAAATTGACCCATGTACTAATAATAAAAATAAGAAAATAAAGTACAAAATCATAATTTTACTTTTTGCACAAAAAACTCAAAAACTCATATACAATTAAGTTAATTAATTGCAAGTTTATCAAGCACCGATCGTTAATTAAGTTTATTAATTAATTTGTATTTAATCTTAAGGACTTAAGTCATGAAATAAAACTGTAATACGTATTACATCGTTAACAAATTGAAACCCAAAAATCCATACTTTTGAACTTTAATTAAAATGCTGTATAACTGTGTAGGTGAAAAAAGGATAACTGAAAAGTTGCATTTGTGTTTGGCTATAATCCGTTGTAATGAATGTTTTGTTGCAGCGATATGTAGGCCCTGCGGTTCCGGCAAATGTGTGCAACCGAATGTGTGCATGTGCGAGGGCGGACGCAAATCCTCGTCGTGCAGTCAAAACTATAAACGAGGACCCGGTAAGTTTTCATCGCCCGTTTGCATTGGAGCAGTGGTGGCTCGTCAAAGAAGTCTGAAGCTTAGCCTCCTTAAAATGTTTACCGATTAAACTTTAACCATTTTATTTTTATAGTTTACCTATTTAATAGTAAAACACACAGTTTGTAAGTTGGGAAGAATTTTTTTTCTATGGTCTAAATAGTATATTGTGTCTCAGGGGCAGAAAACTAATAGCTAAGGGCTGCTAATGCGTTCTCTGAATGTGTGACACACATATGTTTTTCGCCTAGCATCAAATTATTTTTTTTTAATTTTATTAATATGTGGGTCGTTTTCAAAAAACACCCGCCTTTCGCTGTCCGGAAGTTTGAATTCCAATAACTTTGTTAAAATTATCGGATCTTATTGATTTAAAAACCAAGTGAAAGCCTAAAAAGCCCTTAGTAAACTCTTTCAGAAAGTGTTTGTTTAGTTATTTCAGAATATATTTTTTTTATTTTGAAACTTGTGAAACACACATTTTCGCATGTCCCATTAGCGTTTTATAAAACTTACACAGATGTTTTTTTTTAATATTGAATAACCAGAACTTTGTGTTGCTTTATAGCAATCCATAACATCCTAGGATTCCTTAGTTAATACAGTAAACAATTTATATATAAATTAATTAATTTTAATCTACTTTAAAAAAAAACATATATATGCCATATATATATTTTTTTAATATTCTATCGGTAACGCGACGGACGTAACTCAAAGGAAAATATTATATGGCAACTTTTTTGGTACTCACTTGATCAACAAATGATGTTCGGACGTACACATTACCCAGCTGAATTTATTTATTCAATCAGAAAGAAGATATCGGTTGAAACAGGTGCGGGTAACGCGAATGTAATAATTGTTTGTCCGCTAAGTTACTCAAAAAAATAATAATAAAAGTAAGGTAAGAAAAAATACTATTTTTCATGTTTATGTTTATTTTAGGGCACTAAAGCTCATTGAGAGTAATTAATGACTGTAATGTCTTATTATTATTTTATATTATATTTATTATATTGCATAAAAACTTAACTTTTAACAACAAATTATAAGATAACTAAAACTCAAGGAGAGTCTTCTTTTCTTACAGCATTATTATAATAATGCTGTAGTATTGCCAACTTTTCTGCCAAAATGCACAGTCGCCACAAACGCACACAAGTGACGTTGAAATGGTTTTATTTGAATTTTAATTAAGCTCAGTGGTCTATTCTTTGAAGTTAATCTATGCAATTTACTAAAAATAGGAAAAGTTTGTTGTGCATCAGGATTAAAACCATATACTTACCAAGGTAAGGTAAGTATATGATTAAAACAGGTTCCACGTCAATTCGCCATCTATTGAGACTTTTAACAAATACTTATTTATTATTTTGCCGCTTTTCGGGATAGATATGTATCACCTCCTTCCACCCTGATTGAAACATTTTAGTGAGGCTGACGTTTCTAGACAAAGCAATAGATTTTTTATAATAGTTTTTTCTGTTAATTGTGTAACGTGTTTTAAAATATATAAACCATAAATTATTTTATACATAAATAAAAAAAATCTGCATGTTAATCACTTAATATTTAATATAATTTAACTATTCTATTATATTTTTCGTCTTGTTGTATTGGAAAATATTTTTAAGGAGACACAAACATTTTAGAATAGTAAAAAATATAATTGTAGTTTATTAGCTTCCTCTGACCACAAACCGCCACTTTATTAGAGAGTCCCGTCCCTTTGTGTAAAAGATTAAAGGGACTTTAGTTTGCATGTAATCCATAAACTGCAGGCGGTTATCGCCAACTATCAGGAGAAATAAAGTAATAAAGTACTTAGTGTATTATATTCCTGTGCGAAATTTTTGATGAATTAATACTTACGCTAAAAGTAGATATAAATGTTTCTTTACTAGCTCCAACTTGTAACAAAAAGGTTGTGATTTTATTATACCATAAAAAATAATCCTAACATTTTGTTAAGTATAGGTTTAAAAATAGTGAGACTAGTAGGAGGAAAAGAGGAGATTCCTCGAGCGCACAGTATTTCAATTCTCGAAATTTTCGGCAGAATTCCAAAATTCAAAATGGTAGATCTAAAATGGCGGACATATTTGTAAAAAAATTGACGGAATTAATTGAAAATCACCATACTGGGGTTTTTGTGGTCGCTGATAACGAATCGGGAATCAGAATTCCAAAATTCAAAATGGTAGATCCAAAATGGCGGACATATTTGTCAAAAAATTGACAGAATAAATTGAAAATCACCATACAGGGGTTTGTGTGGTCGCTGGTAATGAATCTGGAATTAGAATTCCAAAATTCAAAATGGTAGATCCAAAATGGCGGACATATTTGTAAAAAAAAATTGACGGAATTAATTAAAAATCACCATACAGGGGTTTTTGTGGTCGCTGATAATGAATCTGGAATCAGAATTCCAAAATTCAAAATGGTGGACCTCAAATGGCGGGCATTTTTATCAAATATTGTCGAAATTAATTAAAAACCCGTAAGAGGTTCTTTTTAAAAGCTTTAAGATAACAAAAAAATGTAACACTTACCACAAATAAAACTACTTCTACTCTTGCAAGAATTTAATGTACTTTACCTTTAAAAATGTCAGTGTAATTTTTACATTGCGGTTGCTCCCAATTTAATTAAAAAATAAACACAATTTTAGGTAGGTACTTGGACAATGAAAATGCTGTTCAGTATTATGTATGGGCTGGTATTCTTGGCAACAAAATAATTGGACCGCTTTTTTTTAAAGCTTGACTGGACAATTATATCTTGATTTTCTAAAAGTGTTATAGGCCCACTTATTACCCAATTATTAGAAAATCAGATCGACGAAAAAGGAAACATTTTGCTTGATAAGGACATTTGTACTTTCAACAAGATGAAGCTCCTCCTCACTATGCTTTACCAGTCAGAGAATGGTTAAACCAAAGGTTTCCTGAAAAATGGATTAGTAGAAGAGGTTCTCGAGAAAGGCCTGCAAGATCTCCAGATTTAAAATCACTTTTTTCTTTGGGGTCATTTAAAAATACAAGTCTACCAAACACCACCTGAGAACATTAAGAACTCAAACGAATAATAATTCAAGAATGTAGGCAGATGACTTTTGAAACGTTTCAAAAAGTTCGACAAGAGTTTAAGACCAGATTGTATTATTGTTTAGGAAATAACGCGTCAAATTTTGAACATTTCATATATTTTTTTAATAAATTCTTTCTTTTATTTATCACATCTTTTTTGGCAAATCCGTGATCAGATTTGGCTAGTATAGTATAGGGTGTCATTTAAAATTTTTGAGTAAGGGTGTAGGGTAAGGAGGGTAAGGAGGTGAGAAAGTGCAATATAAAATTTGTTTAACACTAAATTTGTACTTCACCCTCGATATCTAAATCGACCTGTGCTCACGATCATATTTACGATAAATCAAAAGTTCTTAAAGGTGGCAAGTTTTAAATTGAAAGCCCTGGAAACATATGTCGCACGTATCTGGTTGACTTTATTTTCATGCAGTTTTTAATAACCCTGTTTAATATGTTAAACTTACGTTCTATTTAAATAATAGTGCAAATTAAACTTTGAAGGGTCGTTCTCCAAGTGTTATTCACAGATCTCACGTATAAAATTACTGTGACCTAACTACATAGTATAACTTTTAACCATATTAAATTAAAATATGGTATATATATTTTATCTGGATATCGCTAAATTTTACTACAAAGTTGTCTAAAAAGATAAAACGGGGTTAGGTTAAAGGCATACGAGGTGTGTTAAAAAAGTAACGGAAATTTTCGTTTTTACCGGCTTGTGTTTGTCCGATTAATTCCATTTTTTATTGCTTTATTGCCAAACATGTTTAAATGTTTAAGATATACAAGGTGTCCCTAAACTTATTGGCATAAATTTAGGAAAAGATTGAGCAAGTCAAAATAAGACGAAAACCCAAATAAATATTGTAAAGAGTTCGTTTAAAACAAGTTTTATGAAAAATTGATAAATTAAATATTTTGTGGCTTTGGCTCGTGATCGTCTTACCCAAATTTGGACCTCTACGCTGTGTTTACTTACTTGTTTTATTAGATGCATTGCTTTAAGAATGATACGTGGGAGAATTAGGTTTATAAGAAATAAAATACAGTGGCTTAATTTACCCCAATTTAATTTACGTTAACTTTTTACAAACAAGCAAGGGGTGGCTCTTATGAGGGTTCGGCCAGGGAAAAAGAGCCTGAGAAAAAACCCTGGTCGGCTATGAAGTAGCAAAGGAATACGCGGTCAGGCATTGTACTTTAAAAATTACGCAAATTAATGTATTGGCGATATGGCTCGATACTGCATTTAAACAAAGATTTAAAACTGAAGAATATTGGGGTTAGTTAGCCGGGCTAGGCCCAGAATGTAACGAGGTCCCAATATGGGAGACAACCCGCCTAGTTTAGTTGAAGGGTCGGGGAAAAGCGATGCAACCCTAGAGAACCTAGGGCAACCTTTTCCCCTCACGGGAGAAAAATATTAGTTCATACAACAAAGGCCCACGCACACGAACCAAGAGTACTCAAAGTTGGAACAATAACGGTCAGCACTCCTGGTTAAGCACCGAGTAATTTCGCAATACATCAATAATTTTGGACTGATCATAAAACAATGCTTAACCACGTTATAGAAAAGGGTACAAAATGATGGGTTAAGCACAAACAAAATACAAGGTTACATTTGAGTGGTACAAGCATTGAGCATAGCAAATTATTAAAATTATAGTGATAATAATAAAAACGAGAATAGGGGTGGTAATAGCTAAAAGAAAAGGGTTAAAAATAACGTAAAATACAGCTAAACGTAATAGTAAAGGGTAAATATACTCATAATAGCAATAATTATATAATAATAATATTAACAATTTAAAAATGCACAATATTACGTTTAGTTAATTTTACTACACATTTAAATAGATTAACTATTTAGAACTAAC